TGTCTCCCCCCCAAGCCCAGAAACCTTTTTCTAACACACTTAGTGGCAAAGCAAGCTTTTAAAACATTAACCAATTTTAAATCAATGCTGGATGTTTGCCTGAATTTGCAGAAAGCCTAGAAGACTAGATCTCATGTTTGCATTATTCCCCTCATCTCAGCGCGGTATATGATGCTCTCTGCAATGCAGAACGAATGTGAATCTCAACACCGAAACCCATTCCCCCCAAGGAACCATCCAGCAATGCGTGCCACTAATATGTTTATTCCATGATCACAGTGTGACCTGTGTGCTTGCCCTAGAAAGAAGCCTGAAATATTCTGCTTCCTTCTAACAAAATCTGGCTTTATCTTTCAAGAACTTTTATGACACAGTCAGGCACTGCCAAGTATAAAAGTCCATGCCATACTGAGAGCACAAAGACAGCTAAAGTGAAATCATTCCATCACAATGGCCGGCGGCTATTGTTCGGACTGTATTGTGTGCATGCAATTCAATTAAGCCTCTCTCTCCAGCTGTCCATGGAATAAACATGGCGACGGTGCAACGAGCTCCAGTGTGCAGCTGTACTCCATGCTGCTGCTCAATTTAGATCCTGCTTGCCACAAAGTCTGTAAGCCCTTGCATACATGCCTCTTCCTCTACATTCCCACCCACACAAATCCAAAACCGGGTCTGACCTTCCCCGCTTTGCTTTGCCCATGTGTCCCTGTATAGTCCGAACAAACTCCAGCCATCTGTCCTGCCTGTGTTGCCAACTGCCACAATCTGAACCAGGTAGTCCAAGGCAGCCACTCATTCATGCCTGTGTCTCAGCCTGCTAGGGTCCCCGGAGCTGCAGGCCTGGTCCTGAATCATTTCTTGAACTGTGTAGAGACTTCTGAAAATACAGCTGCTGTAAAAGGTCTGCAAGACATTCAAATCCAACCATTAGTATTGACGCAGCCAGCCACTACAGTCTGATGCCCAGTGTGTCTTGAAGGAGTCTATTAGAGTCCCGTTTAATTTACAACCACGTCCTCCATGCTTCAGTAGTTCATTTGAAAAGTAAAACCGTGTTTCTAGACTAAAGGGTGAAGTGTCAGCTACTCCTGTCCTCAGACCCAGGTTAAGCGACACTCTTTGTATGTATAATCCATTCACACACACACACGCTACTTTGAGAAAGTGAAACTGCGGGCACAGCAGAGGGATCAAGCAGATAGCACAGTTGCGTAAAAGCTACAAGATACCATTGGGTGTGGTAAGACAGTATCTCCAGTCTCTAACGTGGGGGTACAATGTTCAGTTCCACATTTCCAAATTCTGGGAGCACAGACGCCTTCTCAGCCCAGGCTCCTGGCAGAACAACAGCATGTCAACATCAATGTTCAACCCTTTGTGCTCCTCCTCAAGAAAGGAAGACATCATCAGACCAGCACAATTCTAAAAACTTGCCTTTAAAATTCAGCATTTCTTACTTTCCTATCCTTCCAAGTTCCCATTTTTCCATGTATCTTTATGTGAGTTTTGCTGACCTGCTTTGAACTGCCTGCTGCTGTCTAAAGGGACTTAGCAGGTATATTCACTCAATCACTCACTAAAAACACGGGTAGTTTTAAATCCCAGCTTTTGGGAAAGAGGAGGTAAGAGGAACTGCAATGGGCAATGTCTGTTCCTCACAGACCACAGTATTCAGCCACTGTCAGCCCACAAGATTTGCCCAAGACCCGCTCCACCCAAGGAGCTGTGCTCCAAACACAATGCGTCCTGAAGAGAACAAACATCCTGGCCCCCTTCCTTGAAAGGACAGCTTTAAAAGGATAAATCAGATTTAAACTACCATTCTTGCAAAGAACTAAAACAATCACACAAAAGATACTGAATGAACTCTCTGTCTGAGTGGGTTAAACTCTAGTGTTGTGCATATTGGCATTTCTCCCTGAAGCTGGTTTTCTCACTCACATACAACGCTATTTTGAGTACCCTCAGTACTGCCCAAATCAGAGAGAAGACGAAACAACAAGAACGTGGCAAGACAACCCATCACTCCTCAAAAAACCCGCAATGCCCACCGTAACAACCCTATTTCCCTTGCCATGCCATGTCAACTCCGGTTTGTGCTGCAGTGAAATGCGATGGCAATGCATAACAAGGGCTGAATACAAAACCCCGTGGGACACCAGCCAGACCTGTAGTATGGTATGAGAGCCATGCAGATTAGGAAGGGAAGCCATACAAAACGGAAGGACTTACACCAGAGTTCATAGTAGTAGTTGCAACACTGGGATTGTCCACAACAGTGGCCCGTTTCACATATGTAACTTTGATTGTTGACACCCATGCAGGTTTCCTTGTCCTAAAATTAAACAGACACACTTTTAAGATGCTTTGTCAGTATCTTCCGTAAATGTAATCTTTTACTCAATGATCTGCAAGCATTTGAAAAATCACAAGTTATGGTCTTGGGAAACTCTAAGATACACAAAGAGGTTAAAATATAGCTAAGGATCACCAAAAAAGACAAAGGGCTGTTTGGAAGAAAACCCCGTATCTCCAAATTCATGAGTTACATTGCTTTAGCATCTAGTTAGCGCTGCCTTCTTATCATTCTTTTCCTTTTCCATTAAAAGTTATCACATTTTGGGAGCCAGGCATTCTCTTCAAGAAGAGATGTCATTGTTCCCCATTTTACACACTATCGCTGCGTTACTGGGGCTGAATGCTGAGTGGAGGAAATGCATTAATAAACAGAATATTATAATTTGAGAAAAGACTGCTTGGGTTCATTTAGATCTAAATGATAATTACAGCATGTTCCTGCGAGATTCCAATCTAAAATGATTCTTTCATAATTAGCCATGTGCTTTATGTAAGATCAGCATTCCTGTACAACTTCTTCCTGGAATAGCGAAGTAGTTCAGGAGCAGAGCCAAATCAGCTGTACTGTATCACCCAGCAGGTCCTCAGGACACTTAAGATGGAAAAGGACTACAAGTGTGAGGTCTCGGTTCCCCACGTGGTGCACCGCTTCACAGAAGTCTGTGTTTTCCTGCTAGTCTGAAAACATGGGTGGGAAAAAGTGCAAAACACAGGAAAACAGCAGCATTTTACAGGTTGTGGTTTGTGCATCCTCTAATAGGCTTTGGGGCAACCTGGAAGTTGGAAGACACTACGCATCTTCTCACAAAACAAACAGATCTTAATAAAAAACATTGATGTTTCAAACAAACCTGTAACAAAGTCTAAAATTTTCAGTTTCTTTCACTTAAAATTTATTATAATGGAAAAAAAAAGAAAAGTGTGGAGGTTTATACCAAAAGACATGCTGAAAGAATTCATTTTGTAAGTACCATCTTCCAAAAAAACCAAAATCACACCACCAAAAAACCCACCCCCCAGAAAACAAACAAAAAAGCCCAACAACACCCAGCAAGCAGGCTACAGGAACATGCATTGGTTGGTCCAAACACTTGCTGCACTGCACTGTTCCTCTATTTTATGTGAGTGCACCACAGCCACACGTCTCACAAGCCTCTACGGAGTCACCACATGCGCCAAAGACAAAGTCCATTTCAACCCATGGACCACCTCACTCAACAAGCCCTGTAAGGCAGCAGTTTCAATGCAGAAGAGTCCTGCACCAAGTTCTGAAGAAGACCCAGTCTATTTGCGGAGCTGGGGGAGCACCAGCACTCCCCACTACACAGAACCCGGTCAGACCCGTACCTCCCCAACACTGGGCCCGTGGGTCCCTCACCTGAGCACCCATTTTACAGCAGCAATTTAACTTTTAAAAGCAGAAGAACCTCCTACCTAATGTTCAATAGGAAAGACCCCACGCTGCATTTTTCTCCTAAGAAGTCACACCAACTTTTGAAAGGGTTTTGACTGTGTGAAGCACAGCTCAGCAAAGGCGACTCAGCATACGCTACACCACTTCCCCTCCTTCCACAGGCACCACGATTCGCACAAGAGGCTCTGAAACGCACCAGCGGGCCACCTCCTTAAAACTCATCCGCGGAGGCAACAAGCTGGAGGGGCACCCGCCTCCTGTTTCCAGGAAGAGAAGAACATTTTGCTGGACAGACCAGTCACGCTGCTTTTCTGCAGGTAGCTAAGGCAAACATTTTCTGTTCTTGTCCTGAGATGCCACATGCCAACAGCAGACACAACATTTTCCTACAGGGTGTTTTCCATCTCTAACTGCAGCGGCTGATAGCAACTTTTAGGAGACACTGTTGAACTGGCACAGCACTTTCTGCTTCAGGCATGCTATTCATTCCAAAAATTGTAATTTTAGTCAGCAAAAGAACAAGAAACAGGATGCATCTATTCTCTTATCTGTTCTTACCAGTTTATTTACACTTGTCCTCATTTTTGATGGCCTTGCAGAATTAATGCGACTGATGAACAGCATAGATTTTGGCCCTCGCACCAACAGAATTGAGAAATTAAGATCCCATTGCAAAACTGTAATCCTGTTGATAATGCACAAGCCAGAAAGTGACCAGCTGAGGTCTCTGGTCGTGACACATGAAGATCAATGCAATCTGTTGAACTAGCAAGTGAATCACGTGGAGCTGGTGACAAGAACAGAGTGCCACAGTGCCATTTCAGGAACTCCTCTGCATCACAAGACTGATCCGTCTGTGACCACCTGTGTTTACTCTCCAAAAATTTGTTCCATTCAGTGTTGTCTGCTTCAGTGAGTAGCAATACAGAACACATTGGTGTCTTTTGGCAGCAGCAACCTATCACAGCTTCAACATCACTGTGTTTTTCCCACTTAAGAACTCGCAGCAGTCCTGTTTGCAGAGACTTTCATCACGTTATCCTTTCATTTGAACTTCCTGACTCCCTCTTACCAACTTTCTTAGATTTGAAATGACCTTTCCACAATGCCATATGCTCATGTGCAGGGTTGCTTCTTGTTAGCCCAGCTGCCCGAGGGGATAGGTGAACAGAAGATCCTCAGCAGCTAGGATGGTGTTCTGCAGGTTGCTCCTGCCTGCTTTTGGAGATCAAGTCTCAAGCAATATCCTGTTTTCCCATCTAAAGCAAAATTCAAATCTTACTGTCCGAAGCTTCCTTACACACTGACCAAGAGAAATCACCTTCCTTGCTAATGCGTAAGTGCTTGTACCTTTGAATAGTCTCACAGCTAGCTTTCAGCTCCCACAGTTCAGAAAGTCCAGGGTTTCAAAGTCCTTGCAGTGCTGGCCACCAGCCATGCTCCTCAAAGTCCACACAGCTCCTCTTGGAGCCTTTCTGCAGCCCTCTGCCAGCCCGGCCACCGATGGGTTTCTGGGAACATGGAGCCATCAGACTCAGTGCCACGTGTCAGACCCAGAACTGTCACCCTTGTTTCCAAACAGTTTCACAGAACCAAGGAATAATTTAGTCTGGAAAGGATCCCAGCAGGTCACATGGCTGACCCCTGCTCAGAGCACAGCCACCTCCAACGCTAGGTTACTGTTCCACAGAAAAATTCTGTTAAGCAAAGACTCCAGCACAAGCAGAGCATTGTTTTCGAATGTGTTACAGGTGTCTCCTTTGGATTGAGTGTTCCAGTCTCCTTTCTTTTCCCCACTTAAGCCAAGACTCATTTCTGTGAAAAGCTGAGCCTCCGTACTGTGTCTTGCACCATTTCGCCAGCCAAGGAAGACATTACGCACTGCCATCACTACAGGCCATGACAGAGACCGTGACATTTTTTGTTAGGACTACTGCCTACTGCCAAGCACTTCGACCAGGCTTCAATTTCTAATCAAATCCCAGCCCACATTTCTCATACCATCAGTGTTGTATTATTTCCACTTCCTTCTCCCATTCATTCGTTCTGTCAAACGGTAACTACTAAGACATATCAGCAATGCAGTTATCTACAGCCTAAATGACTCCTAGAAATGGTATCACACGTGCTTGTGCTCTGAAAGCACGCCATTTCCTCTTTCACACCACCAAGCATGGGCAAGGCACAGGACTGCAGGAGCAGTTCTATCGGTAAGAAAAGTTGGGGGGGGGGGGGGGAGATGAAGCACTCACATTTTATTGACCTGCCTTTGATTCTGTTTTCCATTTCAAGTAGTGCTTGTGATGATAATTTTTAATCCATCTTAGCAGCATGGAGTTTTTATTTTACTACTACCAAGAGGTTTTGTTGGGTTTTTTAGGTAGTTTTATGAAAACAAGGGAGGGGGAGTGTTTCTTTTTGAAAGCACTTTCTTCCCCAGTAGCCAGTGGCTATCACATTCCAGTGCAGGCTTCCCTGATGAAGGACAGTCTTGTTTTCTTGTTGTCCAGGCAAGCACATCACTCCCTGCCAGCCTTTGTTCAGCTGGCTGTAGACGCCTCCAGACAGGATTACTAAGCAGTATCTACACAAGTCTGCTCTCAAAGAGCACTCGACTCCAGTAGAGCAGAGTATTCCTATTTCGCAACTAAGAAGCCTGAACACGTCATCCGTTATCTCCCACCTGCAAAGCCTAGGAGATGTCCAGCGGATTTCAAGAGATTTGCTGTGTACTGTAAAGCAGCACGTACTCTAGGCTGCATGTTCATCGCTGCCTCCTTGGCATCATCCTAAGAGCTAATGCAGATCTGAGAAACTGGACTCACTGGATCCCTGACTCGTGCTCCAAAGTCGGGAGCTTTCAGGAGGTCTCTGCAGTCCTGGAATGTTTCCTCTCCCCATCCAGTCCAGCAGAGGCCATTTTTTAAATCTGGTGCAGGCTCTTTCTCATGAAACCAGCTGAGTTGGGAAGACCTCATCTTCATGTGCTTGGAGAGTCTCTTCATATTTTAGATGTGGCATTTTGGATTAGTTTTCACTTGTCATAAACTTTATAAAGCAACTTTGTTTGAATAAAAATAAGATGTTTTTCTTACTTATTTTCTTGTTGACATTTGGTATTTGTGATAAACCCACAACCATACTGGCAACTCTGCCAGTAGCATACTTTTGCTGTCAAGTGCTTTTACAAATAATCCTTAAAATATCCAGCAGTGGTAGGTATAAGAGAACTCATGGCAGTGCCATATGTTGTCACATCTGAAGCTACAGAAAACATTAACGTCAGTGCCAGGGAAAAAAGCCAATTACTCTCTCCACCTTCCAGTTTAGTATTGGACCTTTGCTGGAGGTCTACGTGACAAATTAAAGGTCAAACTCTGGGGCATGATCAAGACAGGAGGCATTCATGGAGGTCTGCAGGTTGCCCGAACTGCCTCTTGCTGCATCAAAGGATGGAATCAGACCTCCTTATCCTACCTTTGCAAAAGTTTTCAGTACTAAATGGTTGGGTTTAATGCCCGTAAATCTGTTAGGATTTATTGCTTCTGAAGCCAATGTAGGAAATGGAGGGAAATGAGAACTGACTGACAGTGGCGTACCACTACAATGAAAGGATCAAGGTGCTCCACACTTTTCTACTCTCAAAAGTCAGCAGTTAACCTGGGAACATTGTTGCTATGTCAAAAAGGAGAAAGATGAAGATGAGCCAATTCCAGACCAGTGTGGCTGATTTCCAAGCTGAAAATTAATATGTGCAACTGCAGCAACAAACACCCACAGCCCACGCTCAGAAGCGCATAGTTGGCAGTGAACCACCTACAAAAGATGACTCCTCAGCTGGCATTAACCAGGTAACCAAAACCAGCAGTGGCTGGTATCATGGAGATCTAATAACCGTTTTAGCTTTTTGCTCTGTCTCCTCTTTCCGCGGAAATCTGGCCTCCATTACCTTAAGTATGAGCACCTTGCGTTTATATGGCCTCTAGGTGTCATTCAGCCTGCCAGAGTACTCATTCTAACCTTGGTAATACCCAGACACCCTGGAAAACACTTTGAAAGTGTGACTTGCATTTACTGGCAGCAGGTTACATGCCACTTGTCTCTTCTAGGATAGCCAGTTTTCTAGACCTAATTTCCCGTTCTCTCCAAACTTTGGTACAGTGTTTGTCAAGGCACTACACAGCAAATTACTATTTGAACTGGAAGAGATGGGGATTAATAACGGAATGACAGGGATGAGTGAGGAACTGAAAAACAGGCGTACAAACAGTGGGACACAGTGAAAGGCCCAGCAGCAGGCTGAAGGCAGACTGGCAAGTTGGCATCCACCGAAGGGGGAAGATACTGCTGGTTTTAACAGGACTCGGGCTCAAGCTGCGATTGCTCCAGACCTTCTGGTTTCACGGCTCTCATAGGGGACTTTGGTAATAAGCATCTATTTAATAACAGTAATAATAAAAAACATCCTGATCTAGTTATTTCACTAATCTCATTAGTCGCAGGCAGCAGTCCCTTGCTTTCAGTACCCAGCCACACCCTCAACAACAAAGGAGGATGGACTTAAGCAAGTGACACAATCTTCAGAAAAATGTATTAAAAATATGTGTTTTGAGTAACTCACCATCAGTATTTGAACCATATGTATTATTTAAGCACACAGAGTAGCAGAATGGAAGTGATTGTCAGTATCTTAAATATGTTAGAAGCAACCAACAGGAAAAAAAAGCTGTATTTGAGACCCACCATTTATGAGCCACCACTTGGCTTTTACTCAAACTCATGCATCAGACTATCACTAGTGCTGGTTAGCCAAGCCCATCCAGCAATAGCTCATGAGAATGCAAACACGAAGCTACCAAAGAAGATGTGCGTCTCTGTCACGTAAGAGACTCCAGTGGTAGTAGGTTACAATTGCTACTGAAAACACTAGGCTGGAATGCCAAATCTTGCCATAGGGTTTACTACAATTCCTGGCGTGCCAGCTGCCCCCCAGTTCCTAACCAAAATTCACCTTAAAAAAAAAAAAAAAAATCACTAGAGCCTTTCAGAGAAGGTGGGATTACAGCAAGGACAGGCAGAATTGGGGGGGAACCCTGAATCACCAGGGCAGCTCAGGACTGACACCCACCCGGCTGAGCCTTCACCAAAGCCTCCAGTCGTCTACCATTTTCATAAACACACTACACTTCTCAGTCCTTTGGAACATCAAAGCAAAAATCCACCATCTAAGCAAGTGCCATGCCTTTCGGAGGTTCGATTTAACAAAAGCACCTAAGTCTGGTAAAGATGAGACCAGCTTTAATCGCTGCGAGTTACTGGAACCTCGGGTGTCAGCCCCTGCCAGCATAACAGGGGATAAATTCCTGTAAGCCTGCCTTATGGACTAAGCCTGCAAATAAATCAAGTCTGGATGTTTCTTCATAAGACACCCACCACAAATTTTATTTTTGCTGAATGTGGAAAAAGGAAAAAAGTGTTAAGTGCAAACATCTAAACACTTAAAGTACAATAAGTGACGGAGGAATGATGCCTCTGAGCTGTCCCAGGCACAATAAAGGTCTCCAAAATGGGAATTCTAATCCACAACGTTTATTGCTTAGCTAATGCCAGCACCAGGAGAATTATATTTAAATCACGATGATTAATCAGCCACAGCAGACCCATCTTCACCTCCAGCAGATGCAGAACCTCGGAGGTTTTATTAACCTTTATCTGACGGACAAATTGGTTTGTTGCATCCATTTATCTCGGAGAAATTTTCCAACAATCTTTAAAGGAACATTGTCCTTTCACAGATCATAGACACTTCAATGTATTCCAGTAAGGGCTGGTTTCATTTTTGTCTATTGCAAGTTTCACTTTCAGACTCCAAGAACTGCACATTCGCATTTTAAGCGCCATGCGAAAGTGTTTACTTCCTTCACGCCTTGCTAGAAGCTTCCCAGCTGCACTCCCAGCCCTTTCACGTTAAAGATAGACGCTTCTAGGAAATTACAGCTTTGAGGAGCCTGTCTTGCATTTTGTTGTTTTAAACCACCAAACAGTTGACAACACTGAAAACCTCGAACAGTTAAAATTAAAACTGAAAAGATCAGGAATCTGACATTTTAACACTTTTTTTTTTCCTTTTACATTTATGCGGTGAACTAGACGAGTATGTTCAAGCTACCACCTGCACCCTAAGAGGAAATGCTCACTTAAAACTGAAAGCTGACATCCTCTACAACCACGTTTCCTGGGTTGGGACCTTTAAACACCCACGTTGCACTGATGTCAGACACAGCTGACCTAGCGTTTTAGGCATTTAAACATCATCCCCACTGCCACAACAACAATAAAAAAACCCAAACCGAGCACCCTGTTTTTACCATGTGTTGGCAGTCCATCTGCCGTGCTGCAGTGCCACTGGGTCCCCACGCAGAAGCAAAGGCAGCTCCAGGGGAACCAGCTGCTCAGTGGGGTGCAGCAGGGAGCGGGGGGTGCTCCTGCCATGGCCATTTCGTCCTGGGCACGCAGCTCACGGGAGGGGACCCCGCTCGCACCCCATCCCTGCGCCTGCGAGATCAGCACCCTGTGTGTTGGGTGGGAACAGCAACAGCAAAGGACATCCCAGATAACCAAGTGTTCCGAGTCCGAGTGCAAACACAAGAGACAATAGAGGCGGATGCGTGTCGAGATGTTCCTGAATTCCTCCCACACTTTTAATGAAATAGCACTGTTCACCAACAACCCTTTTTTTCGGCTCTTTTAGAAGCGGAAGAAGAAATTTCTGAATACTATCCGCATGCAGGACACAATCACAAATATGCATTTTTTTTTTAAGTTTAAAAATGATTAGAACTCAAAATGATCAAAACTAAAAAAAGTTCAAGCAGCCCTTTCCCACTATGTCCTTCATCAGTGGATAAAAATAGTCGAGAGCTTTGCTCTTGTGTTATTGAGGCAACACCTTTTTTCTGCTTCCTGTAAATGCCTCTGTACCGATGCCGAAAAGTTACAAGCAGACAAAAAAGTACCGTCCAGCCCACTGAGATAACCAGATGTTCGTTCGCAGTTTGAGCAAATGAAGTCAGATTACACCACGTCTGGTTTTACACCTTATGTGGCACCTCCGTTGTCCCAAACACCTCTCTAAAAGAAAAACATTTATTTAGAAATAGGAACTTTAAACACACCCGTGAGACTCGAGCAGTCTCCACATTTACGCCAGCTATGTTGCACTGCAAGTTGAGAGTTACCTAAAGCCATTCGGTCTTCGTTCCCCAATTTCCCTCCTTGGTTCAGTTCCGAAGCTTTTAGGGAAAGTCTCTTTGCCCTGAGTGCTAACAAGTGAACTATTATTATAGCTACTGCATTCAATTACAGAAGGTCATTGTGCTAGAGGTGGTTTCTTATGTAAAACTGTTTTCAGTTCCGCGGGGGGG